AATTTTTACAGCAAATCTTTCTGATAAAGGCCTCATTTCTCAAATACATAGAGAACTAAGTCAAATTTACAAGAATATGAGTCATTCCCAATTGATAAATGGTCAAAGGATATGAATAGGAAGTTTTCAGAAGAAATCAAAGCTGTCTATAGTTATATGAAAAAATGCTCTAAATCACTATTGATTAGAGAAATGCAAATTAAAACAACTCTGAGGTGCCACCTCACACCTATCAGACTGGCTAATATGACAGAAAATGTTGGAAGGAATGTGGGAAAATTGGGACACTAATCCACTATTGGTGAAGTTGTAAACTGATACCACCATTCTGGCGAACAATTTGGAACTATACCCAAAGGGCTATCAAACTGTGCATACCCTTTGACCAAGTAATACTACTACTAGGCCTGTATCCCAAAGAGATCAAAGGAAAAGAAGTTCCTATAGTACAAAAATATTTATAGCAGCTCTTTTTGTGGTGGCAAAGAATTAAAAAGTGAGAGGATGTCCATCAGTTGGGGAATGCCTGAACAAACTGTGATATTTGATTGTGATGGAATACTATTGTGCTATAATTGATGAGCAGAATGGTTTCAGGAAAATCTGGGAAGACTTATATGAACTGATGCAAAGTGAAGTGAGGACCAAACGTTGTCTACAGTAAAAGCAATATTGTACGATCAACTGTGAATGACTTAGCTATTCTTATCGATATAATGATACAAGATAACTCTGAAGGACTTATGATGAAAAATGCTATTCACCTCCAGAGGAAGAATTGATAAGTCTGAATAGAGATCAAAGCATACTGTTTTTCACTTTTTCTTTTTCTTGTTTTTTGTCTGCCTTCTCTTTTGTAACATGCCTAATATGGAAATGTTTTATATGACTACACATGTATAATCTATATCAAAGTGCTTGCCTTCTCAAGGAGGGGAAAGGGAATGAGGGAGGGAATTTGGAACTCAAAAATATTAAAAAAAATGTTAAAAAATTGTTTTTACATGTAATTGAGAAAAAAATAAAATAAAAATTCTTTTTTTTTAGGCAATTGGGGTTAAGTGACTTGCCCAGGGTCACAGAGCTTATTAAGTGTCAAGTGTTTGGTCTGAGGCCAGATTTGAACTTAGGTCTTCCTGACTTAAGGGCCAGTGCTCTATCCACTGTGCCACCTAGCTTCCCCTAATAAAAATTCTTAAAAAAGAAAAAAATGCAATTCCATATGCAGATTATCTCCAGTGATATGCTGGGTGGAAGAGGTTAATTAATAAAATGACATATGGCTATTTAAATAAAAAAGATTTTAACTTCCTCAAAGTCAGGGACTACACTTAATTACCTCTACAACTTCCCAGTGTTTCTGCCCATTGTAGATGTTTACTAAACGGTGCTTACTGACTCAGTGATGTAGATATGAAAAGAAACTTTGTATTCTCACAGTATAAGCTAACCTCAGAGATTAAAAAAAGGTTAATATTAATTTACTTACAACAGTAAAGCCATAAACAAACAAATGTATTCCTATGGGGGAGTACTAAAGAATTAACTCTAAAGGTTATTTAAGTCTTGATTACTTTCCTTATAAATTAGTATAAAGTAGTAGAGGTGAATAGAAATCAGTCCTTATTCTGGATAACTTTTCTATTTAATATATACACATAGTACAGTGTGTATGTATGTAGATTATATATATATGTATATATATATTCATACATATTTAAATGTAACTTATCTTCTGTGCCTCTTCTAATATCTATTTTTATTTCTTTTAAGACAATTGGAGTTAAGTGACTTGCCCAGGGTCACACAGCTAGTAAGTGTCAAGTGTTTGGTCTGAGGGCAGATTTGAACTCAGGTCCTCCTGACTTCAGTGCCAGTGCTCTATCCACTGCACCACCTAGTTGCCCTCCTCTTCTAATATCTAGAAGTAACCAAAAAGGGCTTTATCTTCCCAAAAGCTTACATAATTAATGTTGATTCATCATTATTCAACAGCTGAGCTATAGTTTCTTCAGTTCGACATTAATTACGACTTTTAATTTTTATCCATCAATTCACTAACACTAGACTTTTTCCCCGATATCTTTCCTCCCTTTCACATCCAAGGTCCTAAAAACTCTCCTTGCCTCCACTATCTTTCCTCCCCTCCCCCCACCTCGCCCCCACTTCTGAGAGTAGGTCTTCCTAGCTTACCTCGCTAGAAATGAAGCAGCTACTCACAAACTGCATTCCATTATTGAACAGCATGAAAGCTTTGACCTCCTGTTCCCTCCATGGGTCACCTGACCCCTCCTTAGGCAGCCTGGTGCCCCTGTCCCCATTCCTGGAGGTTTACCATATTGAGTGCAGACACCCAATGGGCTTTAGGCCAACTGCAACTCAGAAATCCAGAGCCTCAGCCTCCCCAGGAGCAAAGATTAGATGCCACCACACCCAGCTCTTCTCACTTTTCAACCTTTGGCAGCCTGGCTTCTAATTTCATCTCTCAGCTGAAACTGATCTCTTCAAAAATGCCAGTGAAACCTTAGTTACGAAATCCAAGGGGCAGCTAGGTGGTCCAGTGGACAGAGGCCTTGGAGTCAAGAGGACCTGAGTTCAAATCCAGCCTCAGACACTTCACACTTACTAGTTGTGTGACTCTGGGCAAATCACTTAACCTTGATTGCCTCACCAAAAAATAAAAAAATAAAAAAAAAATCTGATGACTTTTTCTTAATCCTAATCTTTCTTGACCTCTCTGAGAAGTATTTCCACACTGCCCAACACCCTCTCCTCCTAGTCTCTCTCCTTCTCCAGTGTTTGTGACACTGTCTACTTTGGCCTGTCTGAGCTCTTAGTCTGTTTTGCTGGATGATCAAGTATAACCCATCCCCACCCCTGGAAGTATACTCCAAGGCCCTCTCCTCTCTAAATGCTCTGGGTGATCTCATCGACTCTCTTGGCTTCAATTATCATCTCTATGTGGTTGTCTCCCAAATCTATTCAGCCCTAGCCTCTTCCCCTAGCTCTGGTCCCAGATGCATGTTTTAAAGTGGATATATAAAATACTAGCTGTTAAATCAAACACTCCAAGTCTGAAATGGAACTCTTCTTTTCCCTCAGCTCCACCCCTCCCTCTAAACTTTCCTATTTCCACTCTGGACACTGCCATTCTCCTGATCACCCAGGTTCACAACCCAGGAGTCATCCTGGACTCCGCACTCTTTCCTGGCACATATCCAATTAGTTGCCAAGTCTTGCTCTACAATGTCTCTTGCATCAGTTGCCTCTCCTCCACTCACAGGCCAACACCTTGGTTTAAGCCCTCATTACCTCTCCAAGACTATCCAGTCACCTTCTAATTTATCTCCCTGCCTCAAGATTCTTTTCTTTCCAATCCGTCCTCCACATAGTGGGCAAACTTGTTTTCCTAAAGCACGGTTCTGGCCAAGTCACTCACTCGCTCAATTAACTCTTCTGGCTCCTCATTACCTCCAGAGTGAAAAGGAACCCATTTAAAGGCCTTTATGACCTGGTTACAGCCCATTATATAATGCTCCCTTCATGCACTTACCAGCCTAGCCAAACTGGTTCTTACTGTTCCTCACAAACAATACTCTGTCTCTTGCATGGGTTATTCTCAATGCCAGGGATGCATTCCCTCTTCACCACTGAATTTCCTTCAGAACTAAGCTCAAGCACAATCCTGAGTTGCTAATGCCTTTTCCCCACCAAATTACCTTGTATTTACTTTGTATATACTTATATGTGTGCATGCTGTCTCCCCTAACAGAATATAAACTCCTTGGGGGCAAGGGTGGTTTAATTTTATTTGCATGTCCCCAGGACCCAAGATCCTGGCACAAAAACAGACGTGGATTTAATAACTTCTGGTTGATTCATGCCACCTCTCCCATCTAGCACTTCCCACATTAGGCTGTCTCCGTCTTGAGAGGTGCTGGGCCTCTAGGGCACTTGGACAGACTGGTCTTCACCAGCTGAAAGCATCAAGGCTCAGGTCCTAGGCTTAGCATAGGCTTAAGGTCCTTTCAGCTTGGGAGAAGCTGCTAGAGCAGTACTCTGTTGGCATAACCTCATTCTCTTCATACTTTAGATTAACATTTAGGCATTGGTTTTATTTTGTTTTCTGAGCAATTCAAAACATGAAAGAAGCAGCCCTAGGGCTGATCTCTATACCTTTAACCTACGGAACCCATGATCCAAGTGGATTTCTAATGTTTTCCATACAATTGATTAGATAATGAAAAACACAGTGGGGGGAAAAACTAGTTACTAGCATCTAAATACTTAGATACTTTCAAGGAGATCAGTGTCCATTAATATTAGGAAATGATGCAGGCCTGGATCTAGATAGACCCTCATGTCTAATTAGAAACAATGCTCAAGCCTCCACCAGAATGACTTTATGCTCTCCTTTGTGTAGTGGAAGGCTCAAAAAGCCTGATGACTCACTGTGTGAACCTGATAGGTGACTTCACCTTTCTGAGCAGCAAGATCCCTCATCAATAAGATGGGGCAGTGTGCTTGCACCACCTGCCTCAAGCACCTGATACAAGGGAACAGCTTTGTGGCATGAAAGAGAATTGGATCAGGTCAAGAACCTGGGTTCCAGGCCTGGCTCGGACACTTGCTAGACATGTGCTTTAGGGCCAATCAGACCCTCCCCCTGGGTCTTTCTCATCTATGACATGAGGCAGCTGGAGAGATAATGATGAAGATCCTTCCAGCACTAAGATTTCATGATCCTAAACAGCAAAACACTTGAATTACTTCTACATCTCTGCCTACATCTCTTACTATCTTGAATGAAGCTTCATGACACCAATGTAGAGATGTGAAGTCTTCTGACCATAGAAGGAATGACCTTAAAACCCACCCAAGAATCCTGATTCTTGGATTTCTACCTTCTCTTTCCTCTAATATTATTCAAACTTAAGGAATCAGAGAACAAATGGCAAACTCGGATCATTATTTATGCCTCCTTACAAAAGGCAGCAAGAATCTATCAAGATTTTATGCCCACGATTGTCCCAATCACAGTTTTTAATACAGAAATAAAGCTGTTTAGGGCCTCTGCCTTGGCCTGGCTTTGCTTCACTGAGAGATGCACTTGTGATGGCTCAGGATCTAATAGCAGTTCTGTTAGAAAGAGGCAGCCTGCACCATCCTGGGCACTAAAGTAGGCCTTCCAGGGCTGGACACCGGCCTTGCTCAGGGCAATGGCCTGGATGTTCACCACTTGCAGAGCTGTCTGGATGGTGTCAGGATGGGCTACTCCTTGCCAGGGTAAAACTTCTTGGTGGGCCACTTCCAGGCTTAGCCAAGTTTTCTCAAACTGCTCAGCAGTTAGTTGGCCATTAGGGACCAGAAGGAAAGATCCAGAGTCACACAGAGGTTGCAGCTCCTCTTTGTTCTCCAAAACCAAGGATCCTAAAATGAAAAGAAACAGAATCTTCTCTAACAGACATGTTCAAATGCCCAAATCTCTAAAAGTATAAGGCATTTTTCATCCTTGGAAATATGTTTAATAACCAGTACTCTGAAGTATACTGGTGGCTTCACTTACATGAACTTTTCTCAATCAGAAAAATAATAAAAGCTGTCCCATATTTAACATATCACGGTAGGGTAATAATATAGGTACTAAGACCCCCTAAAAGTTTTTACCTGATGCAGAAAGGACTCCATTTCCAGAAGGTTCAGGGCCATGAGGCTCTGACACCTGAGATGAAGAGATAGCTGCCCAGCATGCTTTGCTATACATTGGCACTAATGTGTTGAACTCAGAGACCCAGCTATTCACAGGTCTTTCTGCTTGGTCTTCCAGGAGCCCAAGAGAAGGGTCAGACTTGGGGCTACACAGGATTCGCTTCACTTCATCAATGCCAGTTAAGAGAAGGCGATAGTAGAAGAGCCCTCGGTCCCTTACTGCCATATCCTTTTCCTCCTCTAGGAGAGAAAATCAAAGAGATACAGATGACTTTAACATTCTCTCACCATCCTCATGCCAACATATTCCATTCTAATGTAAACATGAAAAAAGGAAAACAGAAGGGGGAGAAAAAACTGAAAGCAAGAAAGGGAAGAAGAGCCAGGAAGGCTGAATAATCAGGTTCTCCTCAGAGCCAATAAGCCCAGGCCAGAGAGCCTGTCACTGCGGGTTCAAGGCGGGGGCTGCTCCTCTCAAGGGACCCACCTAGGCAGTAATATAGCAGACGTCCCAGCATATCTTGGCACTCGGCAGGCCGGGAGAGAAAGAGGCGCAGCAGTGCTGTCAATAACTCCATCTTAACTGCTGGAAATGTCTCTGCCTTCACGTTTTCCACAAAGTCCTCCAACACATATGGAGCATTCGGGATTATTTCCCCATGGACGCCAAGGAGCCAGATCAGCGCCTGCTTTCCCTAGGGAGTCAAGGAAGTAAGAAGAGGCCGGTAAAGTGCAGGACATGAAGCGACAGATGACCATCAGCTCTGCCTCTTCCAGCACAGGGGAAAATGTATAATCTTCTAGTTTGGCTATGGCTGCTGATTCTCTCCACCAGAGCCTGCCATAAAGGAGGCAGATATGCCACCATGCAGAAGCGACTAAGTAGGAGAGTGCTGCTTAAGGCTCCCAGGGCCTGGGTTTATTTGGCAGGATGGTTTCCTAAGCTTTGAGGCCCGTGTGCCTAATGACTGCCAAATGAACTTTACTAACAACAGTAACAACAATCGCTAATGTTTATATAGTGCTTTAAGGTTTGCAAACTGTTTTACATATATCTCATTTGATCTTCCCAACAACCTGGAAGGTAGGTACCATAATTATCCCATTTTACAGATAAGGAAACTGAGGCTGCCAAAGGTATGACTTGCCCAGGATGGAACAGCTAGTAACTATCTGAGGAAGAATTCGAGCCCACATCTTCCTGACTTCACATCCTGTATTCTATCCACTATGCCACACAGCTCCCTCACTAAATTACCTTACTAAAATTACTCCAAAGGCTAGAGGAAGACAGTGGAATTCTCAAAAACATATGGCCCCAAACTGCTCCGGAGCACAATTATAGCAAGTTATTTGTGATTCAAACATACAAATTCATTCTAAAAGATCCCATTTTAGACCCTAGTTGGGAAGGGGCTGTAAAACAAGCTCAGTGAGCACAGTTGCAAGCATCCCACCCTCCTCCTCGAAGAAACCAAGGCTGAGCCTATACCTCGCTATCCTGAATGTTCTCCTCACAGCCAGGCAGGGCCTGACACACAGCCTCCGTGCACTGAGGACAAAGCCAGACCAGGTTTCGGAAAGTCTGTACCACAGCTACAGTAAAACACAGAACACAGAACACCACAAAAGTCCTAAGTCTCACATGTAAAAAAGCAAACCAGAATCAGGCATTCATTCACATCCAAGCTCCATAGGGGTCTCTGTAAAATTTCCTGGGACTTAAAAAAATAAGAAAAAGAATTTTTACTGGGATGATGTGTCTGTGAAGCATCTGCCAGGCAAACATTTCCCAACATTAGTCTTTTTATTTTTACTATTAGGTCAGAGAAAATAGGTTTCTTCTTTGGACTACAATATTGCCAATTCTAATCCAGTGGCAAAGCAGAAGAAATAATGGGTCCTATTATAACTCTTCATTTTGGTCACAGTTCCAAGAAGTAATGATAGCTAATAGCTACCATTTATATAGCGCTTTGATGTTTGCAAAATGCTTTATATATTACTTCATTTGATTTCATTTACATATATTATCTCATTTCAAGAAGATGGCTGGTATGAAATCCAAACATTAGCACAGGATCAAGCAGGGCCATCTATGGCAAATTCACACTAGGAACCTGTGCTAAGACTTCTTTGATACTTTAAGAGATATAAAGAACTCAAAAGAGACACAGAGCTCCATGCACCTCTGATACAGTGCCCAAGGGAAACACAGAGAGCAAATTAGAGAATCTCTGAGCAATTTTATGGAACATCACTGGTCTAAAAATCATGATTTAAATTAAGGAGATGAGTAAAAAAAATAAACAGGAGAGCAATACCCTCATCTAAAGGTGAATAACAGCCAAGAAAAAAAGGCTGCACAGTGTGGCCTCCATTTGAGAAACACTAAGATTCTGGGCTTGGCTCCTCCCTTATCTGCTACAGTTGCTACAGCTGTTGAGCTGGGCTCCTGGATTCACAGACACACCTCAATGAGTCTGTGCAGTGGCTGGATGAAGTGTTTATGAAATACTTGTTGAAAGATGCCTGGAAGAGTGAAAGAAGCCTCTGTGAATGGAATAGAGGGCAGAGGAAGGAAGGGAACGGCCTGAAGCTTTCCCTACATCAATCTGGAGCAAAAGGCCTGCAATCTGCAGGTTCTGGACAGCAGAATCTCCACCCAGGCACACCTTTCTTTAGAAAAGCTAAAACCACACTGTTGGCAAAGAATGTAGCTAGACAGCAATTACCTGAAGTGATGTGCTCCTGCCTGAGCACCAGCAGCTCTGTTAGGATTTGAACACACTGATCTGTGTAGGTCCTGGCAATGCCACCTATCAAGGAAGGGAAGGCAAAAGCAGTTGTAAAATAAGAAATGATTACCAAATACAACTAAGTGACTGAGAATCTGAACACCGGACCAAAGACCAAGTGGGCTAGAGCGATAGACTTACAGATGCATTCCAGCAAAGTTGACTGTAAAGTGAACTTTGGTTAAAAAAAATCCTATTTTTTCATTGATTCCCACTATAACCTTGGGGATTCTTAGGGGCAAAAATCTCAATAAAAATGAGTTGCAAACTTTAGCCCCCCAAAAAAAGCATTTTAAGGTGGCAGCTTGGAGGCATTCTGGACGTCACAGATCAGCAGAGCTTAGAAATGTACCTGTTAATAGTGCTCTGTAGCAATTTCCTAGCTCCAGGTCCTACTCTCCACCATTACCAATCTCTCCTTTGCCCTACAAAAAACCAAGAGATTTTCTTTTCCTGTCAGAGGATTCCCCTAATGCTATGCCTAAAGCTTTAAAAATTTAGCTCCTCTCCTTTCTGTCCAGATATTTGCAAGACTTCAACTAGAACTGTAGTTCTAGGCCTTGTCAAAAGGTGCCACCATTTATTGGAAGATACTACTGCCTTAAAATTCTAGGGAGTTTGGAAACAAGATAAGATAGGGGTCAGGAGAACTTATATCTAGTACCAGCTTGTTTATTTAGGCAAATCCCTAAACTTTCTGTTCCTCAGGTTCTCCATCTAGAAAATGGGAATTATAATACCTATTCTACCTGCCTTTTAAGGATTTTTGAGAATAATATGAGTATAGTAATTTGAAAAGTATACAACTTTATTCAAATGCAAGATGTTATAAACTCTAAATGCTTTATCTTGAGTTCATTTAAAATAAGGACGATCTAAAATCCCTATCCTTAGAGAGATGGTGAGTTTGGTCCTGAACAGGCCCTACTTTGCTAATGTGATTATCTGCGATTGTGAGTCATTTGCCCAGTTCTTGATTGAAAGCCTTTTACCTCTGAAGTTTGCCCTTGAGTCTCTGATGTTCCTCTGGGCATAGCTTTCCAGCTTGCCCATCTGGCCCCAGAGGAGGGAGAAGCAGCAGACACTTTACCTATGGCAAAGATGGCAGCCTGTGCTAGGTCAGCTGATACATCAGTGCAGTAATCCCGGAGCTCGTCTAGCACCTGCTGGACATTCTCATCATTCACCAGCTCACACAGAACTTCCACTTTCTGCAGTTTGATGTAGTGTGGTTCTGAGTAAGAGCAGAAGAATTTTTTGTAGTGGCTACTGAAGTGGCCAGGCAGACTACGTAGGATCCGTCGCACATGGCAGAGAGCAGCAAAACAGAGCTCCCGGCTCTCTGAGGAACAGGCGGTCAACAAGGGACCCTTGACTCTAACGAGAACATCTGTCTGCACGTGGGGGAATTCTTTTGCCAAAACAAGAAAGAGTTTGGTGGCTGCCATCACCACAGCTGGGCTGCTGCTCTGAAGAGAACTGTCCAACAAATTGAGGATGGCAAAGAGTTCCTCCTCACTTCGGGGTTGGTAGCGTAACAGGAAGCCCAGCACCTCAGCCTGGCCCCAGTGGTCCAGGTCTGGCATTCTGCCCCAGAGAGAAAAGGAAGTTACTGTTTTGACAGCAAAACACAATTCCTTCTTTCCAATCACGTCTTATCAGCTGCTTAAAACGGGGAAGAACATTTAAAGTAAGTTCTGATGGAAGAACAAAGAGCTTTAAACAAGTTTATACAGTATAGCATCCCTCTTAAACAAGGTCACAGGCTCTTCTTCAAAAGAGATGCTATCCTGCATAAACCTTAACGTTTGTGCAAAATTGCCTTTAAAATCACAAGCAACTGCATAATGCTTACTAATCTAAGATCAAGGGCTTAATCTTTGGCCTTGGATTCAGATTCTCCACATCTTAAGGTAGCACAACGAATGTAACTGAGCAGTATGTGCGGGAAAGGGGCCCTCAGCAGTACAATGGCTTTAAAACAAGATGGGATCTAATCTCACAGGGTACACTCCTGCTTAATACTCTGTATGTGGACAGAAAAACTCAAAGAAAAGAATTGTTTTTTGTTCAGTGAATTGTGGAGAAGTTGATAACTGTGGTCCTTTTCACCCCCCTAGGGAAAACTGTTCAAGAACTCTCCTTAATACAGCACAACCACCAAAAGGAATCTCCCAGCTCAACATACAAACCGATTTAAGAGGTGGTGGGCAATGGGTTTATTGATAACAACGCCTCCCTCATGCTTCAAGATCTCCTCCAGAGCTCTTAGGCAATTCACCACTACAATGGGATCCTGGTCTCGAAGGAGACTGTACAATTCATTCACCAGGGTGCCATCTACAATGAAACACAGAAGAGCAAAAATTTCCAGCAAAGAAGAAAATCTTCAGTCACAGGAATGAAAATAGGTACCCAGCAGAAAAATCTCTATTACAAAAATGAAAGTGGCAACCACAGAATCTAAAGCAACAAATCCTGACCTCCAGGTCAGTCTAAGTAGATAATGCTAAGGATCTCACTTGGGCTTCAAACACATGATGGTTCTAACCTCATAAAACACCAAGAACTGTAATCTACTTGAAGACCTCAGTGCACAGAAGCAAATCTCATTCAACAATTCATGGTATTTCATAAGGAAAGTTTTCAATATTTCTTTCTAGTGAAAACACAACTACTTACTGTCCTAAACACTATGGATACTCAGTAAATACTCACGATGATAAGAAGGACTGCCACTTACCCACTTCAGAGTCTCCGTGGAGATTATACATTTTTGCACAGCCAAGAACTGCCACCCTCCTGACATAGGAAGCTTTATCCCGAAGGCCATTCAAAATAGGTTGCTGGATATATTCTTGTACTCCAGGCATCCTATGCAAAACACTCTGGAGTCAGCCAGGCTTTGAAGAGCCAATTCTGACTTGATTTAGTACCTACAACACTTGGGTCACAGCAGCCTGAGGGAATGCTTTCCACAGCAAAACCTGGTAATGTGCATCTAATCAGGAAATAAAGAAGATCTCTTTCTAACTCTGAATGCCATCATTATCTGATTTTTGCATGGAATTCTATGGGAGAAGCATAAAAAAGGTCCTATTTACAAATGCTTAGAAGTCAACAAAAACAAAAGAATCAGATTTCAAGGATGAAAGAAGAAAATTTCACATTGAAATAATATGAGTTTTCTAAATCAAACCATTGGCAGATTTGAGGGACCACAAGATTTTCCCCAGTGCTATAAGATTACAAATAAGTTGATCCTCACACTCCTTGATTCCCTAATTATACTAGCAGAAAACTAGAGCTGGGAGAATGACTTGAGTAGTTGGGGAGAAGACAGGGAGAACACTTACTTACCTAAGGCTGCACATGCTCCTGAGTGCCAATCCTCGGACCATGGGGTTGGGGTCTGAGCAGTCCTTGCATAGTGTATTGATGGCCAGGAGAGCAAGGTCTGGTTTTAGTGGGGCATATGTGCACATGTACAGATACACTAGCTTCTTCTGTACAATGTCCACAGTAGCACTGGCTTTCACCATATCCATGAAGACACTGGACACATCCACACCCTGAGTCATATGCCTAAAATCAAGATATCAAAAACAACATTCCCAAAGTTCCAACAATAGGGATTTTAAGGTTTGTTTTCATGAGTGTATGTATGTATTATTTTCCCAATTAGATTTTTTTTTTTAAGGCAATTGAGGTTAAGTGACTTGCCCAGGGTCACACAGCTAGTAAGTGTCAAATGTTTGGTCTGAGACTAGATTTGAACTCAGGTCCTCCTGACTTCTGTGCTGGTGCACTATCCACTGTGCCACCTAGCTGCCCCAATTATATTCTTAAAAGGTATTGACTGGGTTTTCAGCGTTTTTTGTTATCCCAACTGAGTGGGCTCCATAACCTTTACTTACTTAAGGGCCAGATCAGGAAGTGAATTTCTTCAGGATTAGGCAGGACTACTCAAATGGAGATAGGTATGGGGCGGGGGGGGGGGGGGGGGGGGGGGGGGGGGGGGGGTGGGGGGTGTGAGAGGAGTGGGCAAGAGCAGGCAGGTAGAAAAGCACAAGAAATTAGACTGGTACCTAATAACCCTCTGGATGACATTCCGGTAACGAGGTCTATCAGCTTGAATATGGGGGTTACACAGAGCTTTCTTCAGCTCCTTTACTATGTCCTCTGAGCCTAGGTACGGCATTTCTCCAGGCTATCTCTGAGGCAGTTCCTACAATCCTTTACCTAGGCTGTGCTGAGGGACAAACCTGCAGTAGAAAAGAAATGTCTTTAGGTGACAGGACGTAAATAAGCTGGGAGACTCAGGCCCTTGCTTTCCCCAAGGACTGGGGCACCCTGGTTATCAGACTGCTAATGCTAATATCAATTATTGAATCATAAATGTCAGAGCTACAAGAGGTCTTGGAAATAATCTAGACCAACTTCCTCACCTGGCAGAGTAAGCACTTAAATTTTTGTTGAATGAACTCATTTTACAGATGTGAAAAACCGCAGCATAGTATTGTTAAAAACAACAAGTTGGAGTTGAAGACTGGGATTTAAATCCTGGCTCTGCCACTTACTATTCATGTGATCACGGAAATGACAAGTTACTTTTGTGGAGTGAGCCTCAGTTTCCTCATCTGTAAAATAAGCAGTTCATTCATTCAACAAGTATTTACTAAATGCCTACTCTGTGCCAGGTGCTGGAGATTAAAGACAGAAATGAAACAGTCCCTGCCCTCAAGGAGCTTACATTCTAAAGAAGAAAACATGTACGTGTGTAACTAAATGTAAAATAGAGACAAAATAATTTGCATCTGGGGCTATCAGGTGGCGCTTGAGTTGACCCCTGAAGGCCTTCAAGGTCCTTTCGGCGCTAAATCTACGTTCTGTGACCCTATGACTTGGCCAAAGTCTCATCCTCCAACGAAAAAGTGCCAATCTCATCTTACACATGAAGAAACTGAGGCCCGGAGGAGAGGCATGGCTTGCGTAGGGTCACTCGGTCTGGTACGGGCTGCAGGGCCAGACCTCCCCCCAAGGTCTTCCCTACACAGGCCCCCTCCCCCATAGTTGGCCCCCACCTTGGCCCACGACCTCCCAGTCACCAGGAGTCCCCGCCCTCTCCGGCCTGAAGCCCCTCGCGCCCCGCGTCCGGATGTTTCCGCCCGCCCTCCGGAAGTCCCGCCTCTTTTCCTTCTCGAGACCATGGAGGCGCCGCTGCCCCTGCCACTCATCGGAGCCCAGCCCCCTCCAGTCCTACTAGAACCGTCCCTATCACCGCCCACTGCGCAGCCGAAGCCGCGGGAACCCTCAGGCTCTCCCAGCCGCCAGATCCGGCAGAGGCGGATCTTGGCGATCCGAGATCGACTAGTACAGTCTATGTTCCCGCCGGGCCCCGCCCTGTCGCGCCGTGCCGCGGGCGTGGTGGGGGAGGGGCGTGGGATGCCCTCCCGGATTTTCCGCTCCCGCCCCCCCCCGTCCGTGACGCGCGGCCAACCCTCCCCCAAGTAACGGGGTCCAGTCCCGCGCTCTCGCTCCGCGCGTGACTCTGCCCACGATGAATGGGACCGTGATCCCGCACACGCCCATCGCCGTGGACTTGTGGAACCTGCGCCGGGCGGGCCCCGCGCGCCTCTTCTTCCTGACCCACCTGCACGCGGACCACACGGAGGGCCTGACCAGCACCTGGGCGCGGCCCCTCTACTGCTCCCCGCTCACGGCGCGCCTCGTGCACTGCCGCCTGCAGGTAGGGGCGGGCGGAGCCCCAGGGCGCCAGGGGAAACTGAGGCGGGGCAGGGGGAGGGTCAGGCCCCGCTCCGGCCTGCCTTCTGCGAACTAGGAAAGACGCGAAAGACAGCCCCTGCCCTCGAGGGGCTTACCCTCCTTAGGGGAGACCGTCCTCGTCCTCGTCATCATCATCAAACGTTTATGTAGCACCTACTGTGTGCTGTCCCTGGGCTAAGTGCTGGGGTTGCAAGAAGAGGCCAAGTGCCCCACTGCGCCACCTAGCTGTCATCTTGTGTGGCGGCAGCTCTTTAGAGTCCAAAGATCCAATCAGAACGCAACAAGCATTTGTTAAGCACCAGCTATGTGCCAGGCGCTGTGTTAAACGCTGGCGATACAGAAAAAGGGAAAAACAGCCCCTTCCCGTAAGGAGCTCACAGTCCAATGGGGAAGAAAACATGCAGATAACTATGTAACACTTATTGATAAATGGAGCTGTAGCTATTCCTACACATATGTGTATACACATAATATATATCTGTGTGTAGATGGGATAAGTTGGAGGTAATCCCAAATCCAAGGCGCTGGCGTTGATTAGGATTGGGAAAGGCTTTTTGCAGCAGGTGGGATTTTAGCTTAGACTTGAAAGGAAGCCAGGAGGGTCAGATGAATAGGGAGAACAATTAGGAATCTCCTCTGGCCAAGATTGGAATGAGAAGGGGAGTCGCTTCCCAGTTTCACCTGTTAATCGCATCTACATCCTCCTTTGTGCAGATCTGTATATTCTCAGTCTTAGAGTTGGGTGAGGTTAAATAACTTGACCAGGGGAGGAAGAGTCAGTATATGTCAGAGTCCGGGAGACTTGAACCCACAGCTTCCTTACTTTATTGGCCTGGCTGCTCTGTCTAAATAATGTGATGTACCGAATGTGGTAACTTTGAGGAAAGTACTTTGTAAAATTGCACATAAATATGAGCTATGATTTTAGGACCAGAGACCCTCAACAGGGAGGTTGAGGGCTAACTGCAGGGAATTTTGGAACTTTTCCAGTGTCCTGAGTCTTTAACTAAAATGCATTTTAAATAACCCAAGTTACTCTGTATCTTAGTGACTAAGGCTTAAGGGAAGGGCAGATTGGGAATTTGCAAAGAAGTTCCAATTGAATACTACTCAGAAATTGGCTTTTCTGTGCTTCATTACCTGGAGGAGTGTTGCTGAAGGAGAGTGATTCCTGATTTCTCAATGAACTGCTTTTCCTCTCCGTACTCAGGTGTCCAAGAAATGGATCCGGGCCCTGGAGGTTGGTGAGAGTCACATGCTGCCTTTAGATGAGATTGGACAAGAGACCATGACTGTGACCCTGATTGATGCCAACCACTGCCCAGGCTCTGTCATGTTCCTTTTTGAAGGATATTTTGGGACAATCCTGTACACAGGTAGGTCTCCCATAAGGACTCTTTCTCTTTCCCTGACAGCAGGGTTTGGACAGGTAGAATAACCAACAGGATCCTCCAAGCCCCCAGACTGTTTTGCTTTGTCACCCAGCCAGGCCAAGGCCTGCCTTGACCTTTATTTCCTTCTCTTTAGAGGTCCCAGTACGTAGCAACATTAAAGGTAGTGATAGGAAAAAGCTTCACAAGGAAGGCTCAACAGATTTCTCCAGTGTCAGGCCACTAGCCATGATTTCCAAGGAGAAATGAACCATTAAGGATCCCTCTCCCACTAGCGAACTTTAGAAAGTTTGAGTTTCCTCTAAAACACCTGAACAAATAAATATCCATTTTCCTCTGAGGGAATTTGAGCTCAGGCTGCGGATGGAGAAGGATGCTGGTCCTATTTTCCTTGTCTCAGTGTTCTCACTCCCACATACTGTCCTTCAAGGGGACTTCCGTTATACACCATCCATGCTGCAGGAGCCTGCCCTAAGGCTTGGGAAGCAGATCCATACCCTTTACCTGGACAATACCAACTGTGACCCTGCCCTGGTCCTCCCCTCCCGCCAGGAGGCCACCCATCAGATTGCTGAGCTTATCCGCCAGCACCCACAGCATGATGTCAAAATTGGTGAGTGATTCTCCTTCTTATTTCTACCTTTGGCCAAATCGCTGAGATTCTTTAAAGTTTTGATTTAACTCAGCTACATGTTGATCCTACCACAAGGGTACAGTCATCTTGATCATCCGTATTCCACACTGGAATAAATTTTTGTTTTAGTTTCTTTCTGAGAGTCTTACTTCCCTTGCTTACTCAGCTTTTTAGTGGGTGTCATCTTTTGTTTATTCTTTTTCCCAAAACAGCCTCTAGAGTATCGAGAACTGGCAGAGAAGGAGGTTTGAGATTTCTTTCCCGAATTCAGCTCAGCTACTACTCAAAGTCTTTTAAACAAAAGCACTTAACTTCTTTAATTCTTGACATTGTCTTTTCCCGATGCTGCTTTGAGACCTCAAATTTAGAGAATTCTTCTTAGTGGAGTACAGAAAGAAGTTCAGCTGGAAGTAGGGTGGGAAAATCGGATAGATTTCTGACCCCTCCTGAGCCAAGTGTCCAGTGTGTGGCTTGGTTCCATTATGCAGCATCTCACATGCCCTCTTAGCAAAACATAAGTATGAACTTGCAATCTCAGACTGTCGGGCGTGCTGTTCTAGCATGACAAGGTAGGCCGAGGAGCAGTTCCTCAGGAGCCTGCTGGACTTTGTTCTCATTTGTGACCCAAACTCTGACGAGCGGGTTTGGCACGTGTGTTGTTGGGGACTCAGTGAGAGAATGTGAATGTATCAACACGAGCAACAGCAACACTGATGGTGAGTCAAACAACATCTCAAGCAAAGTCTTCATCTGTTGCCTCTAGAATAAAATATCAACTCTTGTTTCGTTACCCTGGCTGCCACCTACCTCTCCAGACACATTTCATACTGCTCCCCTCACACGCACACTGGAAGCTGCTCCTTCAACTTGGTAGCCAAAAGAGCGCCGGCTTCTCAGGCAGGAGGCTTAATCCAAATCTCAGATCTTATTACTACCTGTGTGACCTTGGGCAAGGCACTTATGGTCCCTGGGCCTCAGTTTCTTCATCTGTAAAATAAGGAGGTTGGCCTCTATGCCCTCTGAGTTCCATACTACTTCTAGGTCTGTAATCCTATGGTCTGCCATCTCCAAGCCTTCCCACAGGCTGTGCCTCAGGCCTGGAATGTATTGCTTTCCTCATATGTGAATATTTGAATCCCTGGCTTCTTTAAGATTCATTCAATGGTGTTCTTTGTGATACCTTTCCAGATTCCCACCCCTGGTTGTTAGTGTTTGTTTTCCCCTCAAATTATCTTGCATTTATTTATCTGTTTGTGCCATCTTTTCTAGAAGAATGTCAGCTCCTTCGGGGCAGGAACCATTTCTTGTTTTGTCTTTTTGTTGTACTTTACACATGGTAAGCCCTTACTAGACATTCACTATATTGAGCATCTTTCTTATATGAAAGGCAGTATATGTATCATCCCCACAAAACGTTCCTAAGCCAAGTATCCATGGCCTTTGACTTTCAGTTGCTTTAAAGTTATCTCTGCCACTGATCTGCAAGTGAAGAATAATTTATTGGGTTCTTCTCATGTACCAGGCATCATACTAAGAAGTAGGGAGTCAGGAAAAGATAAAACAGCCCTTGTCTTCAAGGAGCTCACTCTTTAGCATGGAGACAATATAAAAATCACCAGGGGTATATAAGATATATGCAGAGTAGACAGAAGGTGATCCCAGTGTGGAAGGCACTGGAAGCTGGGGAGACCAGAAAGACCTTGTGCAGAGGGTAGGATTTGAGCTGAGTTTTGAAGGAAGCCAGGGAAACTGAGAGGCAGAGGTGAAGAGAGAGGACGGGCATAGCAGGCAGGGGGCTCACCCAGGGCAAAGATGTGGAACAGGGAGATGCGGAGTATCCTGTGTAATTGAGTGAGTAGAGAACATGAACATGCAAGAAGAATGGAAAGGTAGGAGGGAGTCAGATTATGAAGATCTTTAGATGCTAAAAATAAGAGTTTACATTTCATCCTGGAAATGATGAGAAACCACCAGAGTTTAGTCAGTAGGGGTAGGTTAGTGTCTCCAATTTGGAAAAGTCACTTGGACAACTGAGTGGACGAGGGTTTAGAATGGGGAGAGACAGAAGCCCAAGTGAGGAATGATGAGGGCCCCTACTAGGGTGTTCCCTGTTTGAGTGAAGAAGAGGGGATATATATATATATATATGTATATGTATGTATATATGGGAGATGTTATACACCTAGAAAGGGCAAGATCTGCATAGCAACAAGCTGGATTTGTGGGGAGCTGAAAATGATGTGGATCTTGTAAGCCTGGGCGACTGGGAGGAGGATGGTGCCTTTGACAGTGAGAGGGAAGATTGAAGGAGGGGAAGGCTTGGGGTAAAGGGAATGTGTTTTATTTTGACATGTTGAGCTTGAGTTGCGTACGATATCAAAAGGGCAGTTGGTGATGTGGGACTGGAGCATAGGAGAGAGGTTAGAACTAGATACATATATAGTTCTTAGAATCATCTTCATAAAGATGATCATTGAACCCTTGGGAGCTGAGGAGATTATCAGGGAAGGTAGGATAAAGCCAAAGGAAAAACAGACCCAGGACAGAGCATCTGGGGGATACCTACACTTAGTGGGCATGATATGGATGAAGATCCAGTAAAGGAAACTGAGAAGGAGCGGTCTGATAGGAGAACTAGGAGAGATTGGGGTCATGAAAACCCAGAGAGGAAAGAGTGTCAAGGGGGATGAGGAGATCCACAATGTCAAAGCCTTCAGAGAGATCAAAAAAGAATGAGAGGATTGAGAAAAGACCATTCGTATCTATTAGAAACTGCCCATTAGGGTGCCCATTAGTTACAGAATGGCTCAACAAGTTAGCTGTATGAATGCAATGGAATATTCTTGTGTTATAAGAAATGGTGAGGGAGATGGTTTCAGAGAAACCTGGGAAGAATTGTATCAGCTGATGCAGTGATGTGAGCAGAACCAGATGAACAATCGGTATAGTAACTGCAATATTGTAAAGATAATCAGCTTTGAAATATTTAGTAACTGATCAACACAATGACCAACCACAATTCCAAAGGACTCATGATGAAACATGCTGCCCTCCTCCCAGAGTGCACTCAGAGTGCACGTTGAAGCCTATTGTTTTCTCTTTCTATTCTGTTTGTGTTGGACATGGCTAATGTGGAAATTTGTTGTATGTTTACATACAATACATTACATGACTATACTAATTTGTAATGGGTTTTGTTTTTCTTGCCTTCTCAGCGGATGGAAATGAATAGAACTGAAAATAAAGCAAAATTGAATTAAAATAAAAAATGATTTTAAATTTTAAAAGAGAAAAAGCCATTGGATTTGGCAATTAAGTGTTGGTAAGTGTTGGAAAGAGCAGCTTTACTTGAACGATGAGGTCAGAAGCAATATGGCATAGGGTTTAGAACTGAGTGATAGGAAGAAGTGAAGGCACCCAGCGTAGGTGGCTTTCTCCAAGACTTTTGTCTTTGAAGGTGAAGAGAAGTGGAGGATGATAACTAGCAGGATTGATAGGACCCAGTGAGGGATTTTTAAGGATGGGGGACATGGACACATTCGCAGGCAGCTGGAAAGAAGCCAGCACTTAAGGAGAGAGTGCAAGTAAGAAAGAGGAGGGGGAGAGAGGGGACACTCTGCTGGAGAAGGCAGGTTGCAAGGGGATCAACGTATCTGTAGAGGAGTTGGCCTTGTTGAGGAGAAGGACAAGAGTGAAGGAAGAGATGGTGGGGGCAGGTGTCTGAGTGATGTGATAGAAGTGGGAGGAGAGGAGCTCATGGCAAAAACTCGCTGGTGCTCTCGCTCTGGCTCACTTTCTCTCTCTCTCATGTGAATCAAGGTCCACAACTGAGCTGATGCCTTGGGAGGTCCAGGAGGAGGTTTAGAACAGCCTCTGTGGAGAGTGGGATATCAAACTGATTAGAGAGGGGTAGAGTGATTGCCTTATTACAGGGAGGGTCCAGATGAGATTAGATGACAAATTTGCAGTGGATCCAGTCAGCACAATTTCATCATTTCCTCCAGCTCCATGAGGTAGCACATGAATAGAAACAAAAAAGGTGGGTGTTGGGAAGGGTCCAGGATTGGAGCTTGGTAAGGCAGGACTGGATGATATGATCCTTAGAGGAAGGAGAGGTTGTAGAGTGGTGGTGCTAGATGGAGGATCTAGAAGAGGCACTGTGGGGATGGAGAGCAAGGCGTATTCTGAGCAAAGACTTCTATCACATTCCCTGTGGTGGTTTCCTTTTTCACCTGCTTCAAAATTTCTGCCCTAATGCTATCTTTCTCAGGCTCAGCAGATGACCAACAATGAACTGAAAAGACCTGCACCGTCTAACATTCATTTTCTTTTCTTTTCTTTTCTTCTTCACCCCAAAACTTCTCTGTGTCTTTAAGAGGTATGTCTTTCTTTCTGGACAAGAATAACCTGTTTTCTTGATCCAGCGAGACCACTGCCTTTCCAGTCACCAAGACACATAACCTTGGAATCGTTCTTGATTTAGCCTTCTCACTTACCCTGCATAGCCACTCAGTTAATAATTTTTGTTGTTCTGCCTCAGTGATCCCTCTTAAATCTGACCCCTCCTTGTTACTCTCCTCCCACTGCTCTTTTCACCAAGACCGACTGTCTTGAAAGTGGGACTGGGCCTCCTCAGGGGTCATGGCAAAACTCCGAGAAGAGGTGTGTAATGAGCCAGTGGGGAGGAGGGGTTAGGAAAATGGGTCAGATACCAGCCTCTCTATAGTAGCCAAGTTGGGGCTTGTCTCTACCACAACCACATTTTTCCTGTCTCCCATTATCGTCATATATTCCTCCACTTACACCAGCCCACCGGGATTGGGCAAACTCCAAACCTACCCGTTTCTGCACTATCACTGACCTGTGAGGGTAGTTATAACCTGATTTGGACCCAGGCACTAACGTCAGCAGCTGGACAGGAGAAGGAATCCTCCCAGAATACCTACCCTTTTCCCCTTGCATTTTTATAGCTTTAGCAG